GACCGAGTGGGAGGGCTGGGGAATGGGGGGGGGCACTGGTGTATAGGGGGGAGAATCGGGGACACTGGGCACCCTCGGGAGGGGGCTGGAGGGGGAGGATCCTGTGTTTTTGGGGGTGGGGGGTAATTTGAGGTCCGTGGGGACAGTGGGGACCCTCCTGAGGGAGGCAGGGGGCTGGAGGGGGAAGTCAGGGGTCTTAGAGCCAGGAGGAGGCTGGTGGGGGAGCGTGGGGGGCAAGAGGGGACTGGAGAGCTGGAGGTGCAGCAGGGTGGGGGTACTGGGGGAATGGAGCCAGACCCCCCTCTGTGTGCTGTGGGGAGCAGGGCTGGGGTAACCCCGGGAGGAGGGGCGCTCTGTGGCCCCCCAGGACCAGGAAGGGGCTTTGCTCTGTCCCCCTGTGTCCCAGGGTGTGTTCCCCATTCCCCATTTGAGCTCTCATCCCTGGGGTCCCTGCAGTGGGGGGGTCGGTGGGTGAGGGCTGCTGTTCTCCCCTCGTCTGGCAGTTCACGCCCAGGTGCAGTTCCCTCCTGTTTTGGGTTCCAGGGCTGGTTATTTCCAGCTCCCCCTGATTCCCAGCATGTTTTCCTGGGATTGCTTTGGCGTTTAGATTTAGTTTGTGTCTTGGCTGGTTGTTTGTGCTCTCTGAGGTTGTTTTTCCTGCACAGTTGGGTCAGTCTGTTCATTTATCACGGAATCATGGAATGGTTTTGGTTGGGAGGGGCCTTAAAGCCCATCCAGTGCCACCCTCTGCCAGGGGCAGGGACACCTCCCACTGTCCCAGGATGCTCCAACTTGGCCTTGGACACTTCCAGGGATTGGGGCAGTCACAGCTTCTCTGGGCAACAATTTTACTGAACACTTTTCCTGTTCTGAGCTGTTCCTTCTTCCAGCCCCTTTCCTGAGCTGGGTCCTGCACGGCATCTGTGCATTATTCCCTGGTTTTGCCCTTTCCCTGGCTGTCCCTCGGCGAGGGAGGGATCCTGGCACTCCTGTCATTGTCACTGTGTTCCCTGGAGACCCCCAGCACTGGCTGTGACACAGGCTGTGCTTTGCTCTTGATATTCCCCCAGTGTAGCTGCTCTGGAAAGGCACTGGGACACCCTGGGATTTGATCCTTTGTGGTCACTGGAGCTGAAATTCCAAGGGTAGATGAGACAGGAGCGGGGCCAAACCTTGCTGTGGTTGTGTCAGGATGCTGGATATTAGGAAAAGCAGATGCTAGGACGAAACAGTAGATGTTAGAAAAGGTACTAGGGTAGTACATGTTAGGTGAGTAGTTTCTAAGAAAAATTTCTTCGTGGAAGAGGTTGTAAAATGCTGGAATGAGCTGTCCAGGCAGTGGTGGAATCACCATCCCTGGAAATGTTCAAAACAGTGGGGATGTGGCACCTGGGGACATGGATTAGTGGTGACAAGGCAGTGCTGGGGTGATGGACTTGGCGATTTTAAGTGTCTTTTCCAGTCTGAACAGTTCCATCATTCCATGTTTCCACGCTGCAGGGACCTGGCTGCTGGTCTCCCCTTCCTCTAACTCCCCTCTCTCTCCTCTCTCCGCAGGAAAGCGAGGATGGCATCGAAGGAGATGGTGAGTGATGGTTTCTGGTCATTGTAAGCATTGTTTGTGCACCAAAAAAAAAAAAAAAAAAGAAGAAGAAAAGTAGAAATCACACAAAGTGCCTTTTCCAGCAATGCTGTGGTTGTTGCCATCCCAAATATTCACTTGTAACGTGGGGTAAACATGGGGTGCAGAGACAGCGCACCTCAAACTCACCCCTGCTCCCTGCTGGGCTGGTTGGGGGGTGTTGATCCGGGATGGTGCTCGCCTCCAGAGTCCCTTTGGAAGGGATTTGGTGGCACTGAGAGAGAAACCACATCCAACTCTGCCCTGATCCCAACCATTTTCCCTCCCTGCAGCTGTGCTCTCGGACTATGAAAGCGCTGAGGACTCAGAGGTGAGCGACTGATTCTCATGGAATTTCAGCACAACTCCCAGGCTGTGTCCTTGGATCTCTTCCACTGACCCCTCTGTATCCTGAGGAAACGGCCTCTCCCTGTGCCAACCCCTGGGATACAGCCCCTGGCACTGGGACCAGTGTCCCTGTGCTGCTGGGAAGGTGTAGGGCCAGTAAGTGCCAGGGAAAACCCTCCTGGCTCCTGAGACACTGGGAACAGGATTTGCCATGGCCAAGAAGGGCGTGGGAGGAGTGTGGGATGCTCGTTGGGTTTTAATTAGTTGAAATTAAAAAGCAAAGTGGTGGTTGGGAGCATCCCAGGAGCTTCCCTGTGTTCTGGAGGAGCAGCTGGAGGGATGATGCATCCCAGGAGTTGAGGGTGCTGAGGGAATCCCACCCCACCAGTGCCTGGGGCCTGCAGGTTTCCCTGGATTTTCAGAACTCTTAAGATTTCCAGGAAGTTTAGAGAAGTTCTGGTCTCTAAGGGATATAGTGAAGGGTTTCTAGGGAAAATCCATCTCTGCTTTGGGATCCTTCGGGGGTCCAGTGGTTAGGGAACACACAAACCACCAGGCAGAGGGAATCCAAGCTGTTAACTCGGGAATTAGTCTCAGTTTGGGAATTAAGCACTGCCATTAACGAGGAAGGAGCGCGGCAGCACAGGGAGGGAACGGGGCAGCTCCCAGAGCTCCTCCAGCCTGGAATCCCGTGTGGAGACTCCCGGTGGCAGCGGGGTTGTTGCATCACCACCCGTGCCAGGATGACTCTGTTCCTGTGCCTAAAAATAATGCCCGGCCTGGGCTTCCCCAGCGTAAACACCGGGAGCAGGCGATGCGCGAGGGCTGTGTTGAAAGAGGAAAATGGAGCAGGGTTTGGTTAATCACCCCGAGCTATTTTTAGTTCGGCTCCAGCCTCCGGAGGCTCCTGGAGGGTGAAACCAGGTCACGCTCCTGAGCAGAGTGAGTCAGCTGAGGAACTCCAGGGAATTTGGAAACGTGGCCCTGGCTGGATCCGGGCCTTCGGTGTGGAAGGAAGGGCCCGTGATCACCAGTCCTCCCCAGTTTGCAGGAGCCCTTTTAGGAGTGATGGGATGCCAGGGCTTTGTGGGAGATCTGATCCCAGCTCCGTTCCAGAGAGCCTGTTGGATCCTCACTTTCTTGGGAGAGGTTGGGTTTATTTAACCTTTGCTTTTGCTGTAAAAATACAGGGATAGGAAGAATTTTAAGAACCAGTTCTCTGCTTTTGAAGAGTCAGGTCTAACAGGTGGAACAGGGATCTCATTCCAGATTTGGGGAGGTTCCTGGGGGGATCTGCTGTGGAATCTAACTGCAGATTTGGGGATATTTGTGCGGGACCTGTTGCTGGGTCTGACTCCAGATTTGGGGAGA